CCTCTCTCTCTCTCTCTCTCTCTCTCTCTCTCTCTCTCTCTCTCTCTCTCTCTCTCTCTCTCTGTGTGTGTGTGTGTGTGTGTGTGTGTGTCATACCCCTCCCTTCCTCATCATCTCTCGCCATCACTCTACCTCCCTCATCCTCTCTCTATCTCACTGCCTCTCTATCCTCTCATCCCCCACCATCCTTGATCCGCTCTCTCTATTCCTCCCTCCCTCATCCTGTCCCTCTATCCCCTCACTTCCCCATCTTCTCTTTGCCTGCACACACAACCCTCTTGTGTCCCCATCCCCCTTCCCTCTCTCTCTATCCCCCTCCCTCCCACGTCCTTCCCCCACCCAAAGGCGCACTCTAGCACGCCCTCTCTCTCTCTGCAATGGTGTGGCCTTCCCTTGTAACGTCCTGATCCACAACACATATCAAACAGCGAGCTAATTGGGCATCAACATTTCTAATTCCCCACTGTTAGCATCGACGTCGGGAAGGCAAGTGAATTGTGTTACATTCCTTGGTCATCTTATGATGAGAACATTCCACCATTCCCGCCTGAAGTCCAGCTGTGGCGTGTTGGGGACCGAGACACAATGGGTCAAGGGGCCAGACCCTGTTTTGGGAGGGAGTTGAGCACAGGGAGCGGAGTGATTTGAGGTCTGCACAGGAGGATGACAAAGTACCTGCTCGCACCATAGCTGGGGATTCCTGTGGGGGATGGACTGCAACCTAATGCTGCTGATGCATAAGTAGCTGAACCCACCTTCTGGCGGTCCGTAATCACATCCATCAAGAGAGAAAAAGGGGGTGGGGTTTCCTCCTCCTTTTCTACTCTTCTCCGCCTGAGAGAGAGAGAGAGAGAGAGATCCAATGCTGGTTGGTTTTTGGAAGATTACTCGTCGCCACGGACATATCTGAAGCAGATCTATCGTTGATGCCTTGAGATTTTCTCCTCGCTCTTGTCTCAACTTCTTCTTATTCCTCCCCCCTCATTCTCCAACCTTATCTGTCTGTGAATAGTGGTTGTTAACAAGGCAGCCCTTCATGACCCGTGCAAATCAGATTGAAAGTTTTGACCCCTGTCCCTTTTGATGATGCGAGCAGTCATTTTGAAGGGAAGAGACTGGTAGAGCATGCCGCCACTCTCGATTGCTTTTGTGTATTCCTCCTTCCTCACTATTGTATGAGGCTCGGTCCGTTTGTCTCGGGTGCGTCGTGCATGCTCTCATTGAGCTTTCCCTGTTGGACTGACCTCAGCTTCAGCTTGTCTTGCGATTTATCTTCTGGGCATGTCACAGACTGGTACCGGAGCAGAGCCTGCAGATGTACAGTGCACAATCATCAAGCACCCGACTTGATGGGTCCGCCAGTCAATCGCCTGGCCTGTTGGTCAGTCGGCAGCTCTGTCAATCTGGGTGCTGGAACAGGGACCACTGGAGGGTGGGTCGTTCGATCGGTTGACTTCGGCACACCAGTGTCTCAGGCTTCTGGGTGCTGGCATGCAGGACCGTTGGAGGTTTCCAGATCATGCGCTGAACCAGGTATGCCTTCCGGACCTGTAACCAGACCTAAACTGGAGGTAATCCATGCAACCTCCTTTCCAAACCGCCAATCATAGCATGACCTGAACAGCCCAGAACGCAGACCAGATAGTTGGATCTTCGTAGCTCTACTTAGTAGCTGAGCCAGACCCAGTCCAGTAATTGACACGAGAGAGAGAGAGAGCCAGAACGCAGACCAGATAGTTGGATCTTTTTTTCCTAGCTCTACTTAGTAGCTGAGCCAGACCCAGTCCAGCACGAGAGAGAGAGAGAGAGAGAGAGAGAGAGAGAGAGAGAGAGAGAGAGAGAGAGAGAGAGAGAGANAGAGAGAGAGAGAGAGAGAGAGAGAGAGAGAGAGAGAGAGAGAGAGAGAGAGAGAGAGAGAGAGAGAGAGAGAGAGAGATTCTTTTAACCGCACCCACAAATTATCGCTTGTATTTTTATGTTCCTTTTCTATAAACTTAACTCGTCTCTTTCTTATTAAACAGGGTTTTGCGTTAGTGCAGTAGCACTAGTGCTAGATAGGAAGTTAAATACTGTGCACAAGTTGATTACTGGACGTCTGTAGAGGTGGGGCGGTGACCTCCGGCTCCTTGTGAGAGCTGACTTCTGAAGTGTGCTACCTTCGATACGTGCGCAGCTCGGCGTGCGAACTCCCGTGGATTAGCGAGTTCCTCTTCCTCTTCCACTCCTTTCCAAGGGAGAGATGGATTGACAGGAGGAGGAGGTTGCATTTACTGCTCGTTTAAGACTAGACAAGACACAGCAAGGACTATCAGCACTCATTCTGGAAGCAGCCTGTTCCATTGTCCCATGCAGAAACAAAGGATACCTCTCCCAGCATGAAGAGGCCTGGGTATACACATTACATTACCAGACATTGCAGATATACGGCGTGGTTGAGTGCAGATCAGTTTGCAGCGCTGCCCTTGAGACCAGGCGTGATCCAACAAGAATTGGGGAACCTGTGTTGTCTTTCCACATCCAGTTTCTCCAGCAATAAGCACCACCTGTCATGTCGCACCATTCGCATACCATTCACGCAAACCAAACAATGAAAGCAGTTACTCCCTGGTATGCGGCCCACCGTTCGCCGTTTAGCTATATATCGTCAAACAGAACTGCCCCGGTAAACGGTAGGCAGAGAGGGAGTTCCACCGAGGACAACAAACGAGAGGCTGTGGCAAACTGTTTCGTCCGAGTTTCACCGACTCATTGCACTTTTACAAGGTCTAAATAACAGTACGCTAAGTTGAGAGTTCATTCCCATGGACAAGTGCATAAACAGCAAGACGAAGAAGAAACGAACAAGAGAAAAGAGAAAGACGTGAGAAAAGGAGAAAGCACCCATTGCACAATTTAAATACCAGTACACTATGTTCGTTTTTTTTTTTTCCTTGTGCAGGGGCCATGCTAATCTATCGTTCCAATTTTAACAAATGTCCTCAAGGACACCAGTACGCTATGTTTTCTGAGTTCATTCATATTGTAAAACTATCAAGTTTGAGACAAGCGCATGAACTGCAACACAAAGAAGAAGAGAGCGAGAAAAAAGTGAAAGATCTGAGAAAGCAAGGGGGAGGGTATAAGATTACTCCCAATGTCAAATCTCCCCCATCTCAGCACGATGCCCTCACCCTCATCTCTCCTCCTTTCTTTCCACTGATCATCATCAGCAAAAGAACACATGATCGAACCAAGAATCAATGTCCAACGAATCTCTCTAGCATCAGCTTGCGATCTTCTCTCTCCCATCACCACCCCTTGCTAGCCCTATTGTATGCCATGATCTTCACCTAGCAGGATGTACAGACGGCAAACAAGAGAACCCCACTCTCTCCTTCAGAACCGCCTACGCACACTCTTGCACGGAATTAGCTCCCACCCAAGCCCAACAAGGACCCTCTCGACACAGCGCCACACTTGGTAGTGAAGATGATAGTTTGCCACTACACTCGACTTCGACTTGCTACTCTACTCTATGGTACTGTGCTCCATTTCCACTTATCTCTACCGTGGATACACACACACACACACACACACACACACACATACATTTTATTGCTAACCCCGGGCGATGTGGTGAGTTTTTTTTCCATCAGTCAAATGCACCCTGGGCAGACTGTCAAGGTTCAACCTCCTGATAAGTCGGTGAAAGGCCGGCGGAGCAGTCTAACACAGCCCACCTTGATCTCCAAGAGGAAGGCCAGGAGAGAAGGATGTGAGGGAGCCGACTCAGGGGGGGGACGCAGTGGGAAAGTAGGCAGATGAGAAAGAGAAGGAGAGTGAGGGAGCGTGATGAGAAAGCAGGGCAGGAGTGCAAAGAGGACAGGGATCAAAAGAGAAGAAAGACAAGTGCTTAATCAAGGGCCAGAGGAGGGGGCAACGCTCGAAACAATTCCTCCAGTGCAGATCCCCTTCCACTGCCACTACTCTATCCTGCTCCTCCTTACTTCACAAGCAGTAAAATTTATAACATGACTGTTTTCCCAACGCATATGGGACATCGATTCTGTCCTAACTATGTACCTTTTATAGCTCATTCAGAAAGAAAAGACACACCAACCCTCTTTTTTTTTTAATCCTTGCGCAGCGGCCATTCTAATTTTCTCTGTATGGTTCCAATTTTAACAGATGCCCCGAAGGACATCGTCGTTTTTTTTTGTTTTTTTTCGGACGCTTTCTCGAGTTGTGTGTCATCCTTATGCAGGGGCCATGCTAATCTTCCCTGTATCGATCCCATTTAATCAAAATATGTCCCGGGGAAAAGAGAGATCAATCTTGGTTTGCAGCCCCGTACCCAGGTTTGCCTCAGAATGGCCCGGGTGGCCTGACCGGGCCAGGTCCGGGCAAAGTCCCGGTCAAGGCCCCGGGCAGTCCCAGGTTCCCAGCGCAAAAAAAAAAAAAAAAAAAACTGAAAAAAACTTTTAAAAAGTTATAAAAAACTGTCATGCAGAATTGCAAATCAAACAATTTTTGGCTGAGGGTCACCCCGAAATTCGTTAAGGAATCTGAAATAAAAAATAAAAACAAAATACTTAATTATATCGTAGCCCCCCCCCAAAGAAAAGTTATAAGAAACTGTCATGCAGAATTGCAAATCAAACAATTCTCGGCTGAGGGTCACCCCGAAATTCTGAAAGAAAAAATAAAAACAAAATAGTAAAATACTTAATTATCGTAGCCCCCCCCCCCCTCTTCCAGCCCCTTCGAGCCCTTTCGAACCCGCTTATACCCCATAGACACCCTGTGGTGAGATATCACCAAATTCAAAGATAAGGCTGGATTTGGGAACATGTCAGTGAGTGCAGGCCAAAAAAATAAAAAATAAAAAATAAAAAAAAAAGACCCCTTTTTTGGTGTCACCCGGGTACCCCGGGCGCGTCACCCCCCGTGAAAATTCACCCAGGTAGCCCAGCCACGCAGCCCGGGCCAGGCGGGCAACCCTGGTAACACAGAGACCAATCCATTTCTTGCTTACTCCATGCATTTTAGCTCGTTCACAAAGAAAAGACATACCAGCCAGCGGCCTAGCTCAGTTGGTAAGGCACGCAAGTGGCATTCAGGAGGTTTTGGGTTCAATCCCCATTGGCCTCATGTATCTCCCTGGGCAAGCTTGGCGCCTGCCACCTAGAAATAGGCCATTGGTCCCCCACGAGTGGCATTGAGCAGAGACTGCTGATGTTCATAGGGGGAGGGGACGTGAGGGGAGGCACAGTGACTGGCCCATCGAAGAAGCTCTGTCCTCATGCTACCGGCTGTCCCTGGCCCGTATCGCCCACCTGCTGGTGGGTGCAGCTCCCGCATGTTCCCTCGTTGGAGGCTTGAGCACTGATGTGGCTGGCTGCTACGGGGTTCCCCGTAATACTATAATGACAATAAAAAAGGACTGAACGGCCGCCCTGTCCAGATCCAACAGGTAATTGAATTGGTTGGGCTTAAACCACTAGTACCGCCGAGCCTGCTTTGTCAGCCCTGAATTTCACTGCGCACCGAAAGTTACCGAGCCTGGGTCCCATTGTGTTTTCTTTTATACTTCTCTTCAGAAATGGGGGGGGAAAAAAAGAAAAAAGAAAAAAAATCAACTACGCTAGGGACGTGAAAGCAGTCGGATGCAGATTCTGCGGTACATGTGAGAGTATGCACCTCCAACGGGCGTTACAACCCTGCTGAAATCACGGCAGCAGGAACAAACCAAAGGAGAAAAGCAAAAATTCAGCAACAACTCTTTGGATGCGAAAGCAGCCAGATACAGAATCTGGAGTACCTGTGACAGTATGCCCTCCCAACGGAGGTTACAGCCCTGCTATAATCACGACAGCAGGAAAAAAAAAAAAAGCAACAACACTTTGGACGTGAAAGCAGCTGGATATAGAATCTGGTGTACGAGTAAGAATGCACCCCCCATTGCAAAGTGTCAGCTGCCCGTGGAATGCGCCTTGCCTCTCGTTGGCAAGGCACTAAATGCGGATCACCAAAAAAAGAAAGCAAAACGCATACAAAAAACGAAACTGACTATGTTTCTGGGTAGATGCGTTCCTTTAGAGTACTGATGTGAGCACATCTCGTTCACGGCCTTCCCCGACGTCCTTCCTTTCTTTCTTTTCTTCTCTTTTTTCTTTTCTTTTGGTGATGGGAAATACAACTGATGCCGAGCCTCTGGTACCTCCGAACTCTTCGGGGAAAACAGGAAAACGTCCACTTTTCCCTAATTTCCCAAGGCTCGGAGGTACTAGTGGTTTAAGAGAGTTAGGCTAATTAGCAAGCAAAAAAAAAAAAAAAAAAAAAAAAACTGGAGTATTACCCAAGAGCTTGGCTCAGTGGGTACACCCATGAGCTGTTGAAATACAGACCTTAGTTCGAATCCAGATGATGGAACCTGGCAAAATAAAACCAAAGTATTTCTGAGTTCCCTGGGGCCCGTCAGCTCAATGATGATATCCCAAGACCTTCGCCCTTTACTAAAAAAATATAAAATATAAAATATAAAAAAACTGGAGTAATACGGAGCAATGAGCAGAGTCCACTTTGGAAGCACATGTTTTTACCTGATTCCGGACGACCGCCTCATTGATCACCTCTTGGAATGACGCTATCGGAAGTTTCATACGCTGCTCATTAATCTAGCAATTACCAATTACGACAAGTTCCCCGCATACAGATATGCAGTCCCACGCAGCAGCACATCCCTATTTCCACACAGCATCGCACCCCCCAGCATTGCGCTCCCCGTAGGCCCTCAGATACCACACACCGATGCACACAGGCCATCCGAATGCCGACAAAAAAAAAAGACTTGAAAAAGGCCACAATCAGTCCCCTGGCCCCTTCACCTCCCTGCCCTCAGTTGGGAAATCCACAACCCCACAAACACCCACCCCAACCCTCGACATTCGACAGTACCAGACGCACAAAAACAGACAGTGTCACGGTCAGAGTGACGTCTGACGAGTGCACATCATACATGTAATTCCAAAGGATGTTAGATTATTATCGGAGGGCCAAACATTTGCGGCTTTCGCCGACAGTTCCGGTGCAAAATTCAGTGAGAAATTCAAAAACAAGCTACATGGGCCTATAGTGCAAACGTAAAAAAAAAAAAAAAAAAAAAAAAAA